GTTCAGCTTTTGTGGATATAAGGAGTATAGACTAACTGGCATTAGCTAGCACAAGGAAAGGAAGTTTACTGTAAGGGCTTGGATTGAAAAAGAAAAGAACTGGAATTACAATAGAACCTGGCCTTGGGATGCTGGAGCTGAATGGCTGTTCAGTTTCCAGGTATCAAATCTACATACTCATTCCAACTGTCCTGTCAGGTAACACTGTTCTACTACCTACAAGCTTTCTCAAAGTTTGTGGCCCCGCATGGTTTTGCACAAGACCCTCTAGCAAATTCTTACTTCAAATCTTCAAGAAATATGATGTCTCGATGTATCTTTTGTGATGGTCAGAGGTGGAAAGCCAGCCTATGGATTGGCTCCCAAAGTCAAGTGCCCACTCTAGTCCAATCAGTTTTACCTGACTGGGACTACCTGATGGGACTAAAGTCACCTAGGCAGAGGCTCTGGATGAAGCAGTTCCCACAGAAGAGGGATGGGCATAGTAGGTGATTTTAATTACAATTGCTAATAGGTCAGGACTGAGGAAAAATGGGCCCAATACCTACCCATGCTCATTTTGGGGTATCTTAGGAACATAGCAATAAGACTATAAAAATTTTCTACTCATTTTGTTGTCTGTTCAGTTTCTGTCAATTGTATCTATTGATAATTGATATATTTGGCTATACAATTGCTAATTGATATATTTGGAACTGGGGCAGGGCTCTGTACACATAATGTGCTATTATGTAGCACATTATGATTTTCATTTTTTTTTTTCTTGAAACAAAGACTTCTCACAATTAGCCACCCAGCCAGCAGGTAGTATCATTGTGATGTGACAAGGCAATCAATCCACATAACATCTCCTTATCAATAGACTCTCAATTTTTGTTTAATAATCACTGTCAAGCTTATGGATAATTCCTGCAAGTAAACAAGTAAGAGTTTAACTTTGGTTTATCAAAAAATTTTTAGTTGTATTAAACCTTACGTGTATGTACATTGTATCCAAATGCCTAGAAATGCTAAGTTTTGGCATTTTGAATCATATTGTATTCAAATGTCTAGGAGACTTATCTTTTGTTTTTTAAAAACATTTTATCAAGGACTTAATTGTACTGTACCGATTTCAAGAGCTACATTTAGGAAGTACAGTTAATTTGAACTACATTTAGAACTGTAACAGATTGTGTGAATTAAGTAACTTCCAAGCTAAAACTTATGATAGCTTCCTACCACATAATGATTACAATTACAACCATTCTGGGTATGCTAAGGTAACAACACATGGCTGTTCTTTGGGCTCCAGTTGTTCCTTTTTACAAGGGTTACTTGGGCACTATAGAATTTGGACAGTTATGGGAAATTATTCATTGTTATTTTATTTGCAGTATTGATATGCTTTAAAGGATTACCACATGATTATTACTCCTATAGGCTTTATTAAATTCTTCAAACTTCAACTATTTTCTAAGTGTGAGGTGGATTCTTTTTAGGGTAAGTTAAGTCTTTTAGGCAGCTATGATGCCATCTATTTAATAAAGTGTAGCAAACGTGAACTTTTTTTTTGTTCTGCTTCTGGGATTCTTGGTCAGTTGATAGGTAGGTAGGAGAGATCCCCAAGAGAAATAACTATTCCTGTTAATTTGAACAATTGGAGTTTCATGTAGTTGATGTGAATTTTAAGAGATGTCACATTCCAAGCAGTCATATCCAGGTATAAATATATAAAACTAAATAATGGTTTAAAATATGGAGATTAAAAACAATCATGGCAAGGGAAATATCAGTAGAAAGTCAAGGACTGAGGAAAAAGAAGGGAAATATTTGGTCACATTGGTTTATATAAGTGTTAGAACTGAACTTCATATTTAGTTGTAGGATTTCTTTCAGCCAGACAGGGTAAATTACAAAGAAATACATTTCAGTTCCTCCGTGGAAACAAATATTTTTGCTTTACAAAAGTTTTAAAAATATTTTTATTGATAAATATAGTGTATACACGCAAAAGTACACAAAACAACATATTCAGCTCAATGAATTACCACAAAATCACAACTAGAACAAGAAAAAGAACAAAGCCAAAACACCAGATTACTGCCACCCTATTCCCTTCTAATCATTGTCCCTTCTCCCCTCCCCAAGGTAACCATTATCCTGACTTTCATGGTAATTGATTCCTTGATTCTTCTTTATAATTTTAACACTTAAACTTACAACCCTATACAACACCTTGCCTGTTTACATGTAAATGGAATTATATAGTATTCTTGGGATGTAATTGACTGGGAGTCTGGCTTCTTTTGCTCAACTTTATGAGATTTTCCACATTGTTGCAAGGAGTTGTGATTTTTCTTTTATGTTGCTATGTAGCATTTTGTTTATAGCTCAATATATTTAAGCCTTGTACTCTTGAAGGATGTTTGGCTTACTTCCAGGTTGGGGTGATTTTGAATTTTACTGCTAAAAACATTTTTATAAAATGTATCTTGATGCACAAGTGCATCATGCATTTCCATTGGTTATATTCCTCAAAGTGGGATTGCTAGACCAAAAACTGTTTTCCAAAACTGTTGTACCAAGTTACTCTCACCAGCAGTATGTGACAATTCCCATTGGTTGGGTCCTCAGGCTCTGAGTCCCTCACAGGCTGCAATCAAGGTAGTGGCTGAGGCTGTGGTCTCATCTCTGGTTCCCCTGATACCCCTATTGTCAGTCTTAATTTTAGCCATTCTGATGGGTGTGAGGAGTATCACATTATGGCTTTATTTTTCATTTTCCTCATTACAAATAAGGTTGAGCACCTTTATACAAGTTTATTGATCTTTGAGATTTTCTTTTGGAGAGCCTGCTAAAGTATCTGACCCATTTTTCTTATTGATGGTCAATCATTTTCTTAGCAATTTATATCCGTTTTTCATATATTTTACATATGGGCCCAATTGGCATCTGGTAAATACCTTCTTCCAATCTGTGCCTTGCCTTTCATTCCCTAATGTTGTCTTTGGATAGACCTAAGTTCTTCAGTTATCAATTTAATGTACTCAAGTATATAATTTTTTTTTCATAGTTAGTGACATTTTTGTTCAATTTAAAAATCATTCCTGTCATTAGGACAATTTATAGACAGCTCCTAGAATGTTAATTATTTTATCTTTTACAATTAAATATATAATCAACTTGCATATCATTTGATCTGGGTTATGGTTTGAAGTAGAGGTTGTTTCTTTTTTTCCAACAATGTGACTATCAAATCAACCAAGCACTGTTCATTATCAAAAAGTCCTTTTCCCACTGCTTAGGAGTATCACCTTCGTTCTTAAATCAAGTGGCCATTTATGTAAAGGTCTGCTTCTGAGCCATCTATCCTGTTTCTTTCATGTTTGTCTATCCTTTCACCATTGCCACAGTGTCTTAATTACCATGATTTTATACGTGGTACATACCAACTTTATTATTCTTCAAGAGATCTCCGAAAGTTTCTTGGATATTTTTGGTGCTTTGCATTTCCATATACATTTAAAATAAACTTGTCATGTTATACCCCCCACCCCCACCCCCGCAACACACACACACAAACCTACACTCATACACCTACTGCAATTTTGAATGGATTTGCATTGAGTCAATTTGGGAAGAAATAAGGTAAAAATATTGAGTCTTGCAACCATGAACATGATGTAATCCTCCATTCACTGTTGACCCTTGAACAACATGGGCTTGAACTGTGCAAGCCCACTTATAGTTAGTTTTGTTTTTTTATAAAGACAGCACAGTACTATAAAGTATTTTTCCTATGATTTTCTTAATTACATTTTTTAAAAAAGATTTTATTTATTTATTTTACAGAGAGAGACACAGCAAGAGAGGCAGCACAAGCAGGGGGAGTGGGAGAGGGAGAAGCAGACTTCCCTCGGAGCAGGGAGCCCTGTGTGGGGCTCGATCCCAGGACCCTGAGATCATGACCTGGGCCGAAGGCAGACACTTAACAACTGAGCCACCCAGGAGCCCAGCATTTTCTTTTTTGTAGCTTACTTTATTGTAAGAATACAGCATACAATACATATAACATACAAAATACGTGTTAATTAACTATGTTATTGGAAGACTTCTAGTCAACAGCAGTAGGCTATTACTAGTTAAGTTCACGGGGAGTTAAAAGTAACAGTGATTTTTCAACTGCACAGGGGTCAGTACCCCTAACACTTGCTATGTTCAAGGGTCAATTGTATTTAGGTCTTCAATTTCTTTCAAAAATATTTCATATTCTCTGTAGAAATGTTGCGATTTTGGTTAAATTTATTTCTAGTTACTTGATATCTTGTATGCTATTAGAAATCATATTTTATTTTTTTAAAGATTTTATTTACTTATTTGAGAGAGACAGAGATAGCGACAGAGATGGCACTAGAGGGGAAGAGAGGGAGAAGCAGGCTCCCGCTGAGCAAGGAGCCCAATATAGGACTCGATTTGGGGACTCCTGGATCATGACCTGAGCCAAAGGCAGTTGCCCCAGAAATCATATTTCTTTAAAAGTCAATGTTGTTTGTTCCTAATATATTCAAACATAATTGGTCTTTGAATATTTCCTTCGTATCTGCAACTCCGCTAAATTAATTTATATATTTAATAACTTCTACACTTTTTGGATTATTCTATGCACACATCACCTATGAAAAAATAGCTAAAATTTTCCTTCATAATCTATACCTTTTATTTCTTCTTTAAAATACTAAAACCCACAATTATCTAAATCTGAGTAATGTGTAACTCCAGCTGTAAATACAGTAAAAAGGTGCCAGTGGATTCAATTTTCTTTCCACCTCCCATACTCTCACTCGACTACTCTGACCAGCTCACTACTCCTTACATCACTTCCAATCCGGATGAGTCTGAGCCGAGCCCGGCGAGCTTGGAGGCGGGCTGCGGAAGCGCGCGCCGCTAGCACCCTGACCGCTCCGCCCCCTTGTCCAGACGCAGCCAATGAGCGGCTGCCTCTTTCGAGCGCCCTATCGGCCAAAATGGCGGCGGCCGTTGGCGCTGAGTCCCGCTTGTAGTTCCATTGCCTTACTACTCCCCTTGCAAAATGTGAAAGGAGAAGGGGCTGGCGGAGGGGGTGTGTAGGCAATGAGTCGGCGAAGGAAACATGGGGACAGCCCTGGCCTGAAGAACACGCCGCGGAAAGCGGCGGCGGCTGAGGAATGCAGCTCGATGGTCGAGCCAGGGAAGAGGCGGCTGAGGTCGGCCCGCGGCTCAGAGCCCCGCAGGGCCGGAGAGACGTCTCCCCGGCCCGTGCCGCAACAAGAGCAGCCTCCAGCAGCCGCTTCGTGCAGTAAAAGTAACCCCGAGGGTGAGACGTCGGCAACGCGGCCTCTCCGGGCTTAAGCGCTGCAGCCCCACAGCCCCGCTTGCAATGGGCGATCCTAGGGTGCGGGTGGGGGTGGAGTCTTAGTGCTTTCTTTCTCTGGGCTTCTTCCCTCGTGAGTCCGAAAGGAACACGACGCCACTACCCCCGTGGTTTTAGTCTCCGAATTTGAGCTCTGCCACGCTCTGTTTGACCACCCACTTGTTGCCCCTGGTATAGGAATAGGCCCTGTGATTTACCTGTTTGAGGGAAGGAGGGCGGCTATTTCTATACTGCTCCTCCAGTCTTCAGCAGTGGCAGAGCAAGGAAAACTATCTGATAACCTGTTGCCTTCACTTTATTTCCAGGGGAATTGTTCCCCGCCCCCGCAAACTTTTTGCCCTGACTTGCTTTAGTGAAGGGATCATATAAACAGCTATAGCTATCTCTATCATCCTCAAGAGTCTGGGTGATGTCTCACTTCATTATGAATAAACCGGAAGTCCTGTGTATGATGTCCCTCAAAGTAGGAAATTAAGGGCCCCTGAATATTTCATTCTGGTCAATTTTTGGTGTTCTGTTTTTTTAAAGATTTCCAGTAAATCCTGGTAGGAACTGAAATTCACACAAAAGCTCTTTCTTAAAGTGTGTTCTTAAAATACGACTTTTGTTACCTTATTTGTCTTTAGTTTACTCCCATAAGGCAATTCTGGAATGAACAAAAACAAATGTAGAAATTTAAAAGTGATAGTGGACAAAACTTCACAGGAAATGGGTCGCTAAAGCTTTTTGAAGTAATTAGCATAAGTTGGATAGAATTAATGAAAGGGAGCTAAACAGACTTTTACTGAAGTTTCTGCTGGGAGCTTTTTGATTTTCGAAATTACAGGTGGTTCCCAAAGCCTCCAAGTTCCAGTGGTAATGAATGGAGTGACTAGATTATACAGTAGTAGACATTCATAGAGCTACTGAGTTATCTTAAAATACTTGCTATTTACAGTGTCAAATTTGTGAAGTATTACAAGGATTTTTATGTGAAACATTTCAGTTGTTATTAAAGTAATATCATCTCTGGGAGAAAATTTTATAGTTAGACTATAAAAAGTAATCTAAAGGATATGTGACATTGGGGTATTAGGAAGTAAAGTAATGCTTTACAATGCAACAATTGTTTTTTAATCTTATTTTATGTAGAAAGATATGAAACACCAAAGAGAGTGCTGAAAATGGATTTATTGTCATCTACCTTCAGTTCTCCTAATGATCCAGATGGACAAAATGATATCTTTTGGGATCAAAATTCTCCAATGACAAAACAGTTAGGTAATTTATTATTAATTAATATTTTTATCTGGGTAAATATTTGGCAAATGATTAGGATTTAACTATAGAATTTCAGTAGGGTAATAACAGAACTTTTATACAACAGATGTTCTTTGAGAAATCTTACGTGATTGGTATGGTACGCATGTGATGTCAGTGCATAGTGATCTAAGCCATGCTAATTAATATCGTTTTCTATGAAGTGACTCCTATTTTTAAAAATTAAGTTTTTTGTTTACCATTTATAGGAATGTCTTTGTTCTTTAGGTAAAGGAAGAAAAAAACAGATTTACACCACAGATAGTGATGAAATCTCACATATTGTTAATCGTATTGCTCCTCAGGTAAATATCACTAGTTTTATAGTTTATTTTAGAACTGTGAAAACTATGCCACTAGGCCCATGTATGAAAAATGTTGTCTTTTACAATTCTCTTTTCTGAAAATAGAGCACCAAAGGTTACTTTTACCTTTTGTACTACTGAAATATATGTTTTGAAAAAAGTAACATAATGTATAATTGGCAATATTTATTTTCCTAAGCATATATCTTATATTTTAATTTTTTTAGAGTAATGAATTTTGACTAGAGCGTTGTGTTTATTTTGTGTTTAATGTTGTTTAACAATATATGGCATTATTTTTAAAGTTACTAAAATAATAGAATCAGACAATAAAAATTTAAACTTTTTAAAGTTTTTTGTGATTGGTGTTTGTTTACTGTCAATAGCACAATTTTTCCCCATTGAAACTGCTCTTCTTAATACTTGTGGACTAATATGATCATTGAGAAATACTCATAAAAGTGGAAAGAACACTGGATTTGAAGTTCTCAGTCTGCCTCCTATATTGGGTGACCATAAGCAAGTCACTTAAGCTCTCAGAACTTTAGTTCATTCAGCCATAAACTAGAATTACTTGTCTTGCTCTCTCCATTGGACTATTATGAGGATTAAATTAGATAAAAATTCTTTGTAAACATAAGCACTATAAATGTAAGGTTATTTTAAAGTTCATTATGATAATTAAATTATTTACTGTCATAGAACCATCTTCAAAAGTTTCTCTATCTTTATTTCAGTTCCTCTACTGCTTGAATGGAATAGAAATACAAGTTTAAGGCAGCCTGTATTCTGAACCTCTTTACTGTCCTCTCTCTTTTTCTTATTTAACAATATTTAAATTCAGAAAGCATCTAATTTTTGCTCAGTGTCCTCTTTGTAGGAAGTATGGGATTTTTCCTTGACATACCCTTGGATAGTGACTATATGTTCACCATAAACAATAGATGGCATTGTTCCAAACTGTGGTTACAAGGAATTACCATCATCCAGGTGGAGGAGACAGGAAATAAAGTTTTTCTTAGTGGCTGTAAAATATCCAAAATTACAATTAGCACAGTCAAAACAACTCTGTTGCTACTAGCTTTACATTCCATGTTTGGCGTGTCATAGAAATTCATTTTACATTCGGTTCATTAGTTAAATAGCTTTTATGCCATAATACTATTTACTTCATAAGTTAACAATAGATCTTCATTAATTGTGGGTTTCACATGAAAGAAGCATAATAAAATGTGTTTGGACTGGCCAGCTTAAATAGTGATAAAAAGATAGTTGAGTAAATTACTGGACCCTTTACCTAAGTGGACTGGAAATAATAGCTCACATAAAGAAATAGAAACAATATGCAAGTGGTAACTTGTATATAAGAAAAAATACAGTGAAATTAGTTGCTTTTAAATGTTACTCTTTTCAACTAAGCACTTTTAAAGCATGTAAATCTTTGGTAGTGTAAGATTGTCATGTTCTCAGAATGACATGTTCATGCTTTTTATTTTTAGGTGAGTTACCTCCTCAAGTAGTTATTTAAGTCACCTTGATATTTTCAGAGATGGCAATTTTTCCCCCCCTCAAATATTCACTTCCATTTTCCCTGGACAATCATTTCACTTTTTTGAGGGATACTTTTCATATAGTGTTGTTTATTTGAGGATGTATATTTTTTCATAATTTTTATACAACTCTACACAGAATACTCTTTAGGATTAAATGAAGTAATGTGTTCAGATTCCTTATATAACACCTGGATTGTAGTTGGAAATCAATAAATTATGCAATTATTAAAGACATTTTTAAAATTTAACACAAATAGTATAAAAACATACACAGGGCCCTTGTATATATAAAATTGGACATAAAAAGTTGTCATACCTTTATTCTCTAAAAATTGAATGAATTTAAAAATACTTGGTAAATGGACAAAGGGTCCATAATTAAATCATTAAGAATATTTTCCCTAAATTCAAGGTTGTTGTTGAAACAAAAGTGAAAATATATATTGAGTCTGAAAGTAAAATTATTGATTACTGGAGTATTTTGTGAAGCTAAAATCTAGGTTCAACTGGACATCTAAGAAAACTGCTTGCTGAATGAGGATTTTAAAGTATCAAGTTGTAGAGATAATTTCATCTAAACCTAGTAAATAAATATAAACTGATAGCTTCTTCATGCCGAGCATTTTTCTGGGTGCTGATCATAAGATCAGTCCATGCTTTTAAGTATCCTATAACCTAGTGATAAGATTATTTTTAGCTTGTGTGATAGTTATTTATGTTCATTCTAAGTATTATATTCATTCTAAGTACAAAAATAGAGTGGAAAATGGTTAAACCATTTGATTTGTTCATTTGTAACTAATGAATAAATTCATTTTCTAATTTTTTTGCATGATCAGCTCACTGAAAGGAGTAGCAAAAACATCGAGGATTAAAATGGCCCTTTCTTTTCCTTAATAGTGGTTAAACTTCTTTTTCTGCTTTCTCTACTTATTTTTGTTCTTATCCCTGCCATATTCTTAGCATCAGTTCTAACCTTGCACTTGACTCAGTCCTGAGTTTAATTTTAAGTGTTCCCAGTTCAGGTCAACATGGATTGTCCAACTTTAGATAAAGATTATAATGGGGATAGGGAAAATTTGGAGAAGCAGGTGATACAGAAAGAATTCCATATGTATCTCTCTCTATTCTTAATAAATCATTCAGTTTTCTCTTGGGAAAAAAAAAAACTGCTTTTACTGTTGAATATGCATATGTTAACTAATTAAATTCTTAAAACTTAATTTTTTAGAAAATAAGAAATTACCAATTCTGAATGTTTTCACTTCCTGAAACATAAAAGGATCACTTCTTAGAGCTTGTTATTGCCATCCTCCAACTTCTCATTATTCTGGATTTGTTTAGTAACTATCACCTTACCAAAATTTTTTGCTTTAGGAAAATAATTCAGTATAGTTAAAGTTTTTTCTTTTCTTTCTTTTTTTTGTTACGTAAATTTCCTTTTTTTCCCTTTTGCCAAAGGATGAAAAACCAACAACAAACTCCATGCTTGGCATGTGGATTGGTGCAACTGCTATTCCTTGTACTCCTAGTGTAGCAAAAGGAAAATCAAGAGCAAAAATCAGCTGCACAAAGTAAGTTCAAACTTTACAATTTTCCTGAGATTCAGTGGAGTAAATATTTTTAATATTCTGTTTTGGCTTTGTAAATATATCAAAATGGCTATAAATTATATTTTTTAGTTTTGACATGTAAAATTTTAGACTTAAAATAATTGTGTTAAAATTTTGAGTTTTAATATATTAAAATATGCTTAATAACAATTGAATATTTATAATGACCCTTAGAAGTTTTCTTATAAGTTCTATAATTTTTTCAATAGGTTAAAAACACAAAATCGAGAGGAAGAACTTATGAAATTGGCTAAGCAATTTGATAAAAATATGGAAGAGTTAGATGTGATTCAAGAGCAAAACAAAAGAAATCATGATTTTATCCAGACAATTGCAGAAGCAGAGACTTTAACTAATTATAAAGATAATGTACAAATGCAGTTATTACATGATATAGGTCCTGAAATAGATAATTCTATAATAAAGAAGCCGATGAAAGAAAACACCAAAATGTCGGTGGTAAATGATCAAAATAGCAGTCAGAAGCCATTTGACCAAAATGCTGAAGCAGCCTTTAATGCCATTTTTGATGGCTCTACTCAGAAATGTAGTGGACATTTCAGCCAAGATTTGTCAGATGCTTTTTTGAACACAAGTAATACCAACTTTGAAAAGAAAAGCGCTTTAAAAGAGGAGAAAATCATTATGAATGAAATTCTGGTCCCTGAAAAACTGCCAGATAAAACCCCAGGATCACTTTTTTGTCAAGTAGACACTCCTGGAATGACAAAATCATGTGTGACTTCTTATACTGAGAAGCCAGAAGCTTTTCATAAACACCTTGATGCATTTACTACCAGTGATTTTGAGGATGATTGGGAAAACTTACTAAGTAATGAACCTTTTGTTATGCAAAATGTCAAAATGTGTGAACTTTTCCCTGCTCCTAGAACAGCCCAGATTGCTGATCAAAAGCAAAATTATAATTTTAACAATAAAAATGATAAAAATAAGTCAAGAATGAATACAAGTCTAGATACCAGGGTAAGGGATTCAAAAATTTTACAGGATCTCCCTTCAAAGACATATAACAAGGAATTAATAGATTCTGGAAAATATGGGTTTTCACTAAATCCAAACGATAAACCAAGCAAATTACCATCCACTGGAAATAAAATGAAATTTGAGAAATCTTTCAATAAAACTGTTGTTCAAGACAAAATTCAAGACTGTGCAGTTGCGTCTAATCTGACAAAAGTAAAAGAAGATATGCACACTAAATTTACTTCTAATGTAAATATTTCTGAAAAGTCAACTTTGAACACAGGATATTCTAATGAACAAAAAAATAAGTCCATTTATAATCAGTCTTTTAAAGCACCTGCTAATATAGATCATTTTGGCTCTGCAACTTTGGGCAATGAAACCAGTGTTTATAATCCAAATCAGACTAATACATCAAAGTTAGGTTCTTTCTTTGATGACTGGAATGATCCATCATTTGCCAATGAAGTTGTTAAAGCATGTCATCAATTAGAGAATACCTGGGAAGCAGATGATGTAGATGATGATTTATTATACCAAGCATGTGATGATATTGAAAGACTAACTCAGCAACAAGACATTAGAAAGGACAGCAAGATATCAGAAAGTAAACTTGAGATCAATAATAGTTCCAAACATGGAACCGAAAACATGTTTACTACATCTAAAGAAAGTCAATTGGTGCAGTCAAAGCATTTGAATCTGAGCAGCATTTCAGGGCATACATCTTTCACAAATAGCCCACAATTAAATAAACCAGTGAAGATGGAAAAAGGAGAAATTTGTGGAAATTCTCCAAGCTTTTTAGGTGCTACAACTAATTTAACAATATACTCTAAGAACTCAAATTGTCAGATCAATAATCTACGTTATTCCTGGAATAACACTGATGTTCCAATACAAGTGAATAGTACTGAATCGGTTCTTATAGGAAATTCAAGTTTGAATGTGAGTTCAGATCATAGGAATACAGAAACTGCTACTTACAAGAAGAAATTAAGTACTCAGCATCTATCCCATAGGAGCACAACAGATGGAGCTAAGAGTGACCTTAACAGACCAGTTAGATTTCCTAAGTATACATTTACAAAGATGAAAAATTCTCAGATTCTTTCCCAGTTCAATCAAAATTGTATACCAGCAAGTATTTCTGATACCAAAATTACACAGGGTTTGGAGAAAAATAAAACTGTCAGCCCATTTTGTGGGAAGACTGTTCAACAGCAGTCTTTGGTGAAACATTCTGAATCTATGGAACAGCCTTCAAAAGGTATGTATAAAATAGTTTTCTTTGAAAATTATCACCTGGGAAAGTAGCTAAACTAGTTATTTGTTATATTGAATTTGTGTAACAATTTAAAAAATCATGATATTTAACTAGAATTCTTAAAGTGACTCTTAAAAATAATGCTCTAATATACAAAGGGTGTGTGATTTATGTTTTCAGAAGACTGCATTAGATTCTTAGCTTTTAATACAGTGACTAGCATATGGTAGGTACTCAATAAATATTTGTTGAATGTTTTCTGAATTGTTTCCTAGAAAATTGTACTTTAGGTAGATATATTGCTGTGAGATTGTGTTTACTAAATGTCTCGTTGTTTTAAAACTTGAATAATCTTATTCCTATGTTTAGCAGAACATTGAGGTGAACGATATTTGAAAATTCAGAGCATTCTAATTAAACACATTTGCTACTATAATATCTGATATAAAACTCTGTTAGTTGTGATGGTTAGAACTGTAATTTACTAAGTACAACCGGTCATCTTTGATTCTTCTGATTCCTCTCCCACAATTCTATCAAGTGCCATTGTTTCTACCTCAAAAAAAAATACATCTCAAAATTGTCCATTTTTCTCACTCTTAATTGCTACCACCCTTATCCAAGCCAACATTTTTTGACTAGATTGTAGTTCTTTTATCTGTCCCTTTTCAATTCTAGTCTCCAAACAATAGGATAATCTTTTAAAAAACAAACAGGCAAATATGGCATTCCTGTGCTTAACCACAGCCTTCAATGATGGCCCATCATTTTTCAAATAAAATTCCAACTCTACGCTGATTTATAAGGCCCTGGATTACCACTCCTTAGCCTGTCTGTCTGCTTTTTTATCTCACCTACTAAGCTTCAACTACACTAGCTATCTTTTTGGTTCCTCAAACAGAATAGTTTCTTTCCTAGATCAGGAGATCTGACTGTGCTATTCCTAACTAAAACTACTACTTCCCAGCATTTGACCCCCCATTCCTGTCTTTTGGTTGCTGCTTTTTTATCCTTAGGTCTCATTTTAAGTATGACTTCCTCATAGAGACCTTCCTTGAACAACCTATAAATAGGTCTTTTCTTTGTTATTTTCCATCATCTCTCATATTCCTTCGTTTCTTTTATCACAATTTCCAAGCAAGTATTGATTATTGTCTGTCCTATCTGTGAATACCTAGGCGTACCACAGTATCTGCCACTTAGAAGATGTTTAGTAAGTATTTGAATGAATATCATGCAATATAATGTGAAAAATCTGTTATTCACTGATGTTGTAATGTTTTTTAAAAGGGACTGTGTCTGGCATAACTACTTGTACATCTTAATGCCCAGTTCTTTCTCACAGCCTCATGTTTTCACAGATGCTGTTTCCTTCACCAGAAACACAGTGCCCCCACATTGCATATACCAAATCTGCCCAGCCATTTTCCATTTGTCCTTTAAAACACAATATGTTTCTGTCCACCCAGATAATTTAGCTTCACTTTCTCTGGGTTTCTCCAATACCCAGTGTTAACTTCTGTTACAGCATTTACTATGCTAGCTTGTAATTATTGATTTTCTTAATCAGTCTTCCTCACTGAGGGCTAACATTAGGATTCTTATCTATTATGTAGATTAATGCTAATAAGGTGAGGGAGTCTTTGGCTCCTTTTAGCATTAGATCATTGTTTTCTGTTTAGACTCTAGATGATGATTTTGTTGGCATTACTGCTACAACTTTCCTATTTAAGTGATCCCACCCTTTTTTTTTTTTTAACTTGTAACAGTAATATGCTGGTTGTTTAAAAAGAAAGAAGACAGAATAGATTAATTTGAAGTGAAAAATTAAATTCTCTATTTCTCTTTTCTCACAGCCATTCCTCAGGGAAACCACAGTTAACAGTTTGGAATACATCATGTAGTATTTTCTGTGCATATAAAAGCGTGCATGCATGTTTGTGTGTATGTATATGTGTGTATACCTACACATTCATTTAATCAGATGGAATTATGTACTATGTACCTACCCTTTGACAACTTGGTTTTGCCTTCATCTAATATAGCTATCTTTTCCTGTTATTCATATAGTTTTGCTTCAGTCCTTCTAATAACTACATAGTATGTTATTATATGGATGTACCATGATTTATTTAACTGTTTCTCTATTGATGGAAAGTCCAGTTTGGTTGCATTTTTTGCATTACAAACAATCCTCCAGTGAATATACTTCTACATAAATTTCTCCATGCTCCTGTGATTGTATCTGTTAATTATTGAAAAATTGATGTAAGAGAATGTTTTGAATTTGATGGATATCACCAAATCTTCCCCCAAAGTTACATCAATTTATATTCTTATCAACATTGACAATGAATATTTCCCTACATTATAGCCTTGATATTTTGAAACTTTTAAAAATTGTGGTCAATCTATAATTTAAAATATTTAAATTTATATTTAAATAAGTGTAATTAATTGGACCATACTCTCAACATGAATTTAGTTACATATAGTTATAACTATATTAAAAATTACTACATCTCTGCAATATTTGAGTTTTCCCAAAACTACTATCCTGTCTGCATTTTTTATGGGTGGATAATCTCTTTCAGTTTATCTTATCAATTTTTTTAAGTTTACTGATAGTACCTAATCTTCTAATTAACATTAATCTTCTTGATATTGTCTGTTGTTTCTACTTTCTTTTACTTTGTTATGTAGCAAGCTGCTCTCCAGAGAATGTCTCTGAAACAAAACCCATTTAACTACCTCATTGCTGTAAGGCCCGGTTTGGCAAACCATGGCCTATCCAAATCCAGCCCATAGCCAGTTTTTGTACAGCCAGCATGCTAAGATGGTTTCACATCTTAAATAGTTGAAAAAATCAGCAGAAGAGTAATATTTCATGACCTTTGAAACTTATATGGAATTCAGATTTCATTGTCCCTAAACAAAGTTTTATTTGAACATAATCACATCATTTGTATTGTCCATGGCTGGCTGTTTTCATGCTACAATAACAGAGTTGAACAGTTGCAACAAAAGACCATATGAACTTCAAAGGTTAATATATTTACTTTCTGGCCCTTCACAGATTTTTTTTTTTCTTTTTTGCTGACCTCTGCTGTAGGATAAAGATTAAGAAGAGCCACTTTTGCTTTGTATCTTGTAATAGTTTGAGACTTTACCATGTATTTTTATTGAAGATTGAGTTAAAGGAAGAGCTGATGGGAGAAATGGATGACTCTCTCTAAGTCAGAATTTCATAGTGTGACTTTGTTTACATCATTTGAAATTATTTTCCAAGAATATCACCAAGCCAGTTGTAAAACCAGTTTTAGAGAGCTATGTTCTTTTCTGCTGGCATGGATTATTAACCTGTTTTCCTTCCAAACTTATGGTCACTTCAATTGTGTGTGTGTTCTGAGTTTTCGTTTCTCAGCTTTGAGACTAAAATATTAGATAATTAGTCAAGCTAATTATAAAGTATCTTGTAGCATCTTTCTGTAAGGAAAAATAGCTACAAATCTGTGAGATAATTAGTTTAGGAAATAAATAAGGCATCAGAGTAATCTGGGGAGTTTATCTAAAATATTTACCTCTTACCTTGAACACCCTCTCCCATTTCCAATTATACCAAGAAAGGAAGGGGAGACAGATAATTTATTTTGGACAAATAATCTCCCTTAGTTAACAAGGGAAATGTCTTATAACAAAATCTGAACCTTTGTCTAGATGGTAGTGTAAATAATACTTCTCTGCCAACAGTACTACAGATTCATATTCTGTGAGAGGCAGATTTTACAACATAAACAGCTTTACCAGTACAAGGTCATGTAAATATGATTTAAGGTGATGGTCTTAATTTTAAAACATCCTTTAAATGAGAAAATACGTTTGCTAATTTTAAAGTTTGATTATTATTACCATTACGTAGATAATCTAATATTTTAGCTTAAAGTGACTAAACTGTGGAATTAAATTCATTTTATTAGAACTTAGTATTTTGCATAGATATAATTGAATATATTATTAAAATCAAACTTAACTATTTTCATTAATTTAAAACACATTGTTTATTTTATAGTATATTATCCCTGAAGTATACACTAAAATATGCTGCATAGGAATATGTCAGAATGCTTCACATTTCTGTATACTTAAAAAGACATTCAAATTGAAGATTTTATTCAGATATTCTCCTTTTTGAAATAATTTTCTAATGTTTATATAAAATGTATTCTCCAAATAAAAATATTTGACAGTGAATTATATGCTTATTGTCATGATAGATTTCACTAGATCACTCTAAAACATTTTTCCTCAATGGCTAAAATGAAAATCTTGGAGCTCTATAGAGGGAAAAAAGTTGGTGTGAATATTAATATAGCTTTTCAGTAAAAATACACTACTTGAGGTATTTGTATTTAATTCATTATATTTTGACTGCTTTTTTACTAAAGTTTATATAACATTTAAAATCCCAGTTTTTAAAATAATACTAATTTGTGAATTATATAAATTAGATGTCCTTATTTACAAGAATTATGTGCTAAGAAGTTAAAATGTAGAGTTTAATCAAATGAACTTTATGACATTTTGAAAAGGTATATAAAATAAGGACAGATTGATCAGTGCTTGATTTTCTTTTGGCTAGAGCACTGTATCTGTAAGTGGAGTATCATATATAGTAGTTTAGTGTGAAATAGTTATACCAATATGGCAAGTCTGGATAATAAAAAAGTAAAAACTAAAACTCATATTCAGGATGACTTTACAGTCTATAAAAGTAATATCTATATTTTGTTTAATTTTTAGAGGAAGAAGAGAAAAATAAAAAGTATTCTCCTGAAGAAATTCAAAGAAAAAGACAAGAAGCACTGGTTCGAAGAATGGCCAAAGCACAGGCATCATCTGTAAAGGCAGCTCCCATTTAACTTGATTTCTTTTATGAAATATTAGTTGGAAGATGTAACAACGACAGTTAATAGCTATCTGTGATAGGAAATATTTTTTCTTGATTTCTCTGTGAGAAATTTAATGCTGACTTATAAAGCATGGACTTCTTTTTTTTTTTTTATGGACTTCTATTTTATTTAATAAATCAATGTTGCAATTCAGTGAAACCTTTCCTTGGAGAGGTATGTGAAAATAATTGCATAAAAGTTTTGGAAATTCAGGAGAGTTAGCGATTATGTTGTAGAATTATACAGAGTAAGTAGTTATATTTTTAAATATTGTGGATCATCCAAAAGTGGTAATCTACTAATTTTTTTATCATAATAACTCCTAATACAAAGCTTCAACTCACTAAGTAAATAAGATTTTATTTTTTATAGTTTTACTTTCAGTAACTGTTTCTAAGTTTTTTATACATTTCTGAATCTTAAAAACACTTTCATATTTTTAGGAACATGGTTGGTGGGAAATGACTTCAATTTATTTGTCAGTAAATCACTATTTTTAATTCCTAATCTGAAATAGATTTTAATTTTATTTTTCTAAAACATGATGTATTTTGGAAACTTTCCACTATTTTTAGGGAAAATGCTGATTTAAGAAGTTTAGAAAAAAGAAAGTAGACTGGCTATATAAATAATACAGTATTATTAACATTTAGAACTGTCAGAACCTTTAGATATCATCTGGTCCAACTTCTTTTTTGTATAGGTGAGAAATGAATACTGTTATTCTGAAAATCACAAGGCAGGTTAAAGCTGTGCTGAAATTAGAATGATTGCTTTCATTCTAATCAACACCTAGACAATTGTACCATTTTCTTCTGAGTATTAATTAGTATATAAAATAACTTGTTTGTAGGAGCATTAATTATTTCATAGTATAAAACTAAAAAAAAATAGTAACTCAAAGTACATTAAGGACTGTTTAATAATAATGCTCATTGTTTTGTGTATTAAAGAATTCATTCCAGAATATAAAAATGAGAATCTTTCTCTTTTTAGTTTTCCTATAACTATTTAATTTTCCCTTAATTAGTTTTCTCACTTTACTAATTTGCTCATCTCTATTACTCTATTTTTTTCTTTTTGTCTGTTTAGAATTCACTAAGCCAGAAAATCTAAACAGAGGTCATAAGGGCAGTAAAGATGCTTTATTTGTCCTAAATGGCTTTGGGAGACTTGATGAAAGGTATAGATGCACCTATTAGTGCATTTACCACTATTCAGGTGTCTTAGAGCTATGATAATATCAAAACAATTAAATGCATTTTAAGGTATGACTATATAGAGATATATCACTCTGACAATTGTATTTTCATATCTACAGTAGAGTAACACTGTAACACATTCTTCTTCCTTTAGGTATTATTGGAAACAGTAGGGGTTAGTGGCCCTTCAGTGAACACACAGAGGGCTGTATAGATAGTTTCTCTAGGTTGGCTTTTCCAATCTCTAGGAAATCTGTTTCTACACAGAGGAGGAATAATTGGTAGGCCTGACAGCTTAATTCCAGCTCAAGCTTGGCTGCTGTTTATGCATCTCAGGCTGGCTGTGGAAAAACTGACATTAATAATGCCATGATTGCAGGAAAGTCCACTGCAGAATAGAGCCCATCTATCACTACTCTTTCTCTCTCTTTTTTTTTAAGATTTTAATTATTTGACAGAGAGACAGCGAGAGAGGGAGCACAAGCAGGGGGAGTGGGAGAGGGAGAAGCAGGCTTCCCGCTGAGCAGGGAGCTCGACGTGAGGCTCAATCCCAGGACCCTGGGACCATGACCTGAGCCGAAGGCAAATGCTTAATGATTGAGCCAGGCACCCCATCACTACTCTTTCTTGCTGCAGCCAGGCAACCCTGATCCCAGGAAAACTTGGGTTGCTTATTACACAGAGTCAGTTGTATGCAGGCATGTACCACACCTTGGGAAACAGTGCTTATATCACTAACTTTTACATTCCTGAGAACAGAGGCACCTTACTCATCTCTGTCTACCCAATACTGATATTCAATGGTTACTTATTAAATATTTTATGAATTTAGATATATTCTGATGGCAGAGTTCTGCCTTCCCCTCCTTAAAGCAGTTTGACTCTGATTCCCTGAGCTATTCAGTATTAGAAAATGTTTCTAGGAACGATTAAAATTTAGCCTAATACTGATTAGTCTAAGTCTAATTTATCTAAAGTCTAACCATGATCTTCAGTTCTTGCCGGAATGTGATGATCAGAATCACTTGTGGGACTCAAAAACAAAACAACAAACGTGTGTTGTTGTGCCTTCTTTAGACTTCATAAAAGTACATCTAGGGGTAGATTTCAGATATGTGTGCTTTTAAAGTTCATTGGCTAATAGCCAAGAGGGTTGAAAAGAAACTGTAATTGCTGTTCTATAAGTTGCTAAATGTTTTATTTACCATGCACAATTTTAAGAAATTACCGTAACTAATTTGCTTCTCAAAACAACTATGTAAATAACACTTTCACCGCCATTTTACAAAAAAAAGAAGCTGAAGTAAGCATATTAAGGGATAGTCTCAAGGTTACACAATTAGAAAGTAGTTGGAGCTCGAGTTTGAACCCAAGCAGTCTAATTTCAAATACTGTGATCTTAACTATTGAGTGTACTGTCATTCTTGGAAACTATTCATAAAAATCACTTGTCTGTGGAAATTATATGTACAGGAAAGAATTGTTACATTTCAGGCAAGTGTGCCAAAAAAACTCACTAGAATTCTATAGCTTAACTGTATAGCTCAGGAGAATTTTTTTTTACAGTCCAAGTTGCTGTTATAGATGACTCCTATACTTTATGTGTACATGAGCAGGTGGGTGTGTACTGATTACATGAATCCACACAGAGATCTCCTTCTTTTTCATTCAACCACTAAACAAAAGAGTAAAGAAATACATAAAATGTATAGCTATTTAAAATGTCTTCATTTTACCTCACTATTTTACTAACTTCTGGGTGTTCTGGTTTTAAATCTATTAGGGAAACCTTAATTGCCTAGTCTAAGATGAAATGGCATACCTCAAGCTGCTAGTAAAACTCTGATCCAAGTAATAAAATCAAGGTTTCTGGTTAGATTCACACTATATAGAAGAGGTATTCTGCATTTAATTTGTTACAATATGTTATTGTTAAATCCAAGCTCACACAGATTGTAGTTGGGAAAAGGAAAAGTATTTTAATAGTGTTTTCAGATAATTATAGGTATTCTTTTCTGATATTACACAAAAACTCAAGAAGTGATAATCTATTAAAAGATAGCTCTAACTTCTGTTTCCAGCCAAGATGGAATAATGAGGACTGCATGCACACTTCTTGCTGAAAGAACCAAATAAACTACATGGAAAAGTGGATTTCAAGACAACCTGAGAATGAGGAAACAAACAAATAGAGCCCTACCATTTTCCCAGCTTACTGCCTTGAGGGAGTTTCCAGACCATGATGCAAGGAAGAATTGAGGAACAGCCCAGTAGACATCATGAGTGAGAAATGGAGCTGAGACACTAGGGAGACTAAGGTAGCTAGAGTTCACAGGACAGAGTACCTGTGAGAAGAGAAAACTGAACTCCAGAGATCTGCAGATGATCCCCTTTGATAATTAAATTCAGTACTGATTAGCACATATATGTGAGGAAATGGAGGCTGGAGAAAGACATATGATGGGATTAAGAGGGAGCAAACATTGTCCGGTGCTCACAAGCATCTAGTAATAATGCCAGTTCTTACCAACCAAGGTCACTGGGTAGTTACTTGCCTGAGTAGTAGGGAATGATTTGCCCTAGGATGCACTGCTCTGGGCCCACCCAACAAATCATAAAAGCAATGTCAAAAGGGATCAAACCATTCCCACAGAACAACTGCATGCTAGAACAAAGTGTAAAAATACTTATAGAAAAACAAAAATACCCAGCACCTATGAGATAAAATTAACAATGACTGCCCTCTAATTAAAGATAACTAGGCATGCAAATAAGCAAAAACAACCTATAAGAAGAATCAATTGAAACAAACCTGTATCTGATATAGATGTTAAAACTAACAGGATATTAAAATAGCTACAGTTATTAAATGTGTTCAAAAAAGTTAAGTAGAAACATGGAGGATATTAAAAAGACTAAACTCAAACTTTTACAGATGAAAGCTAAAATGTCTGAGGTGAAAATACACCATATAGGATTAATGGCAATTTACACATTGTAGAAGATTAGTAATTAGTGAACTTGACATATCAATAGGAATTATTCAAAATGAAAAAAAATTTAAGGAAAAGAACAGTGAGTTGAACAATTTCAAGTAGCCTAATGTATGGTTAGAGTCTCTGAAGGAGGAAGTGGGGGGAGAGTATACAGGATATTTGAAATAATGACCTAACAATTTTCAGACCTTATGGAAACTATTAACCCGCAAATCCAAGATATTCAATAAACTCCAAGCACAAGAGATCTTAAGAAAACTATGAAGCCACATCATAGCCAGTATAAAATCATGAAAGCAATAAAAAAGAACAAAGGGACAAAGATGAATATAACATCAGAATTTTCATCAGAAACAATCTGATAAGACAATGGAGAAACATCTTTAAAGCACTGAAAGGAAAAACCTGTCTATCTAGAATTCTATACCCAGCAAAATATCTTTCAAAGTCAAACAGATAAAGCTGCTTTCAGACATATAAAATCTGAAAGAATGCATCACTGGCACTACAAGAAATACTAAAGGATGTCTTTCAAGCAGAAAATGATAAATGAAAATGTGGGTTTACATGAGGGAATGATGACACTGGAAATGATAAACAACATGGGTTAATATATGAGTTTTAAAAATTATTTAAATCCTTTAAAAGAATTGACTACTCATATAAACATAACAATGTTGTGGGGTTTATAACATAAAAGTTAAACATGACAATAGCATAAAGGCCATAGGAAAAAAAATATGAAAGTAGATAGTCCTAGTCTTGCACATTTTGGCATGCGTGGGTTTCAGTTACATAACACCAGTTTCCTAACAACGTAGTTCAAATTTCTGTTAACACAGTATATTAAACTATGAATACTTGCATAAAGTACAAACTTTATAGCTATCTCAGTCCACAAATCACTACATAAATAACATGTGGATTATGATGCATGATCAATCATGTCATTTGTGACAACTGCCC